AGGCCGAGTCCTTCTGCCGGGATTGGTGGGCTTTACATGTGCCGGAGCAACTCCAAGCTCTGTTGACGACATCGTCCTTCCCTTGTAGACCGCACTACCTTCAAGCAGAGCTTTACGTGCTGCCCTTTGATAAGAGCGTTTACCCTTCCCTTTAGGAACGGGCTGATGCTTGGTCGAACCACTAGGCTGTTTCGCAGCACTCATGTTGAGTACGGCTCCTGTCGGCTTCGCAATACCGACAACCCTCACCTCTGGGAGATGTTAGAGAGCTGTAGATCTAATACTCCCTCCCGGACTTGGGACCGGGACTGCTCAGGCGCTGACAAATGCCATGGCAAGAAAGGAAAAAGGCAACTGTACTAGCCTGACCTTTCCTGAGCCGAGAGGCTTACAATAATAATAATAATAATAACAATAAGAATAACAATAATGATAATAATAGCAATAACAATAATAACAATAATAATGGCAATAATAATAACAATAATCATAACATTAATAAAAATAATAGGGACCAAAAAAAGGCACCATAATTTTGACAACCACCTATTTGGATATGAGGGCTTTAAACCTGGAGGCTTTCAGGGTTTAGGGTTTTGGGGTTTTGGGCTTTAGGATTTAGGACACTCGGGCTTCAAACCTGAAAACTTTGAGGGTGTAGGGACCTTGGCTTTATGGTCGGTTTAGGGCTTTTGGGGGTGGGTTTAGGGCTGCCTCAGGTGTCTGCGGCTTTTTAGAGCCCTGGTGGGGCCTGTTGGGACCGTTTAATGCCTGGAAGGCCAAGTTTCTCACACGAGAGACTACAGGGTGGATCTCGGGGAGTCTAGGAGTCTTGGGGCTTTGGGCTTTAAGGGTTTAGGGTTTAGAATTTAGAGCTTGAAGGTAAGGGTTTAGAGTTCAGGGTTTAAGATTTAGGGTTTTACCGTTTAGGGTTTACGGTTTAAGGGTTTAGGGTTTAGGGTAGGACGGCGGTGTTTACCGAAGACGCCGGAGGTCTGCATGGAATCCTTCTGAGGGTCATGAACCATGACCTCTCAAACAACCAACTTCCGTCTGGAGCAGGCGGACGAGAACTGTAGTGTAGTAAGCTCTAGTATATTGTAGCATATTACAGGATACCCAAGCTATTACAGCGTAATATAACTGCAGTGTAGTCAGTTCTAGCATTTTGTAGCATATTATAGGATGTTAATATAGTGTACTATGTTATTACACAGTGCTTCGAGATGTTTCAGAGGCTCTGGGCCATCCCCTGAACTGTACCTGTCATATATGCTAATATGTTACTGTTATTCATGTATATGATAAAGTCTGATATACTACTGTAGGACAGAATAAGCTTAAGTAGAACCCAATAGAAATGAATAGAATAGTGACGAATCGAATAGAATAGTTTGACGTGTATGATAGAATATGATATAATACGCCCGGAAGTCGCAAACGTCTGAGGACCTAAACCCTACACCAGTGCCCCTACGCCGACCACAGCAGGAGCCGTCTCGGATCTACAGCTTCGAGGTCCGAACAGACTAACCGACCCTGAACCAAACAGAAAAAATACAGAAACGCGAACACGACAAGTCCCACACAGCAACGAAGCCAACACGAAGAACCACCGTTGGCCTGAACACGAAACTCTGAAACCTCAACCCAGAAACCCTCCGCCTCAGCCCGGAAGCTTGCACTGCCCTACGGCCCAAGCCGAACCCTTGTCTTGTGCGGGACACTCCCTGACGGTGAGGTCGGCTCCGTTGATTTGCGCCGCCTGGCAATGTCTTGGGCCCAAGGCTTCAAAAAGGGTCTTTGGGATTAGGGCCTTAAGGGCTAAAGGCAACCAAGATACCGAAAGTCCAAAGAAGGGCTCTGGGCTTGCTCCAGGGTGTGGGGGCCAAGGGTTTAGGGCGCTGGAACACCTCATGACCCTCTGGCTTCGGGAGATGCTGGAGGACTTCGTTAGCGTCGAACTTATGCTTCGAGCCAGAATCTAGTATGTACATGTGTATATATGTACATGAGATTGTAAATTAGTGCATCCGTTGAACCCCGCAGTCAGCCCCCCCCAAACTTCCACACCCCTACTGAAGTGCAAAAAAAAGCTGAAACCCTCCGGACTGATGTATAGTGGCCTTGATCGCTAGAAGAAGGTTTTGGACTAGATTATATGGAACGCGAAAATAGATTGGTAAATATTTACTGTAAGCTCCTATACTAGTCTTATACTAGTCTAGAGTCTACATCACCCCTGCTGCCAGACAGCATGCCTGGTTTGGGTTCACCACGGACACTGTGAAGGGACCTCGAAAATTCGCCCGCACGCTTGTAGGGTTCAGGGTTTAGGGCTCGTGGGTTCAAGGGTCTAGGGTGCTGCGTGTTTTGCTGGCGTCGGGTTTAAAAAGTTAACTCCTGTTTAAGGCTTTCTCCAAGCATCCAAACAAATCGTTTCCTTGGGGCTCTCGATGTGTTGGTAGTAGCAAACACCGCAGGGCCCAAAACGGTTGCTCGTCTAGTTGTTAAGGCTTGGAAGATCCAACTTGGATCCAGTATCTAAGGGTGTTGATGCCGTTGGTTGTCGAAGAGTCCACCGATTAGCGCCTCGCAGATGAAAGCGCGGTCGCTATGACCATGATGGTGATGATGATGTTGATGATGATGCTGATGAGGGTGATGCCGATGGCTGTGGTGATGGTGATGCCGATGATGATGGCGAAGATGATGGCGATGATGATGCTGATGATGGCCGTGGCGATGATGATGATGATGATGATGATGATGATGAGAATGCTGTTGGTGGTGCTGGGGTGTTGGTCATGAAGACAATTCTCTATCGCCATCATGCAGCATCAGCGCTACGGTTAAAGAGCACGAAATGCGCCGTTTGTGTGTGCGGCCTGTGCTCGTAGACTCCCGAGGGCCCCGAAGCGCTTTTCATATGGCTTTCTCCAATCATATTTTTGACACCGCTTTGAGGTATCCAATCATAATGTTCATTCACACTGTGTTTCGATAACTGCATCTAACTGACGACACAGACACAAGATGTACTACTACTGCTACTACTACTACTACTACTACTGGTTCTGCTACCATCACCACCACCGCAGCCAGCATCACGACCACCACCCCCACCACAATCTTGATTGCTTGTGCTGCTGCCGATGCCAATGGTCACGCTCGAAAGTCTGCACATCAATACAGTTGCTATGAAGTGTGTTGCTAAAGATTTTGTTACTTGCACGCCGTAGCGGTATCACGCGTCGCTACTATCGTTGCTGCCGAAACTTCTACTTAAAGGCGCCCGAATGTTAAATGTCCTTCCCAGAGGCGAAGATCAAAAGAGACGTTGTCAAAGATCGGATTCGGTCGACGTTGATATGCCACTAGGTTCTCCACACCTCAAGCAAGAAGATGTGGGTTGGAAAATGAAGGGGCCTTAACAATTAGAATAGGGTTTTGAGCTCCCTCATAGTATAATCATAATAGGGAACCCTAAGTAACAATACAGGTAATCATTCAGGCTTCTAAAGTAGGGTCTGGGAAGGGGGGCCTTAGTGAATGTAATGAGGGCTTGCGGCTTGAGGTAGATCGAAGTACATCCGCTTTCATTCGCGCTATGCTAGTCCGGCACTACTATCATGATTCCTGGCACTACTATCATTATTACTGCTGAGATTGCTTACTATGGCTGTTCACTACTCATGTGTCAAACTCTTGCCATCGCTACGATTATTGCTCTTCTTGTTGTTCTTACTATCCATACAGACTACAACGATGCTACGGTTGTTCGACTATACTTAGTTATTCAACCCTCTATGTAAATGGTTCGGCTTCGCATCGACATATGGGTAGTTGTCAAAACTAGGGTCCCTTTCTGGGTACCCTAAATAGTAGGTGCCGTATTATATCACCCAGAAAGGGACCATACTTTTGACAACCGCCCATGTCAATGTATCCCAGGTTGATAGGCACGTACGTGCGACTTACGCTGTAAACACCAGACATATAGCCAAAACCCGCGACTTCCCAGAAACGCCTGGGTTCTAACCAGTATGTATCGAGGTCTGATGGGTGTTATAAACCCTGAACCCTAGACCCCGAAACCCCGAAACCCCTAAGCCCCAAAAACCCCGAAACCCCTAAGCCCCTAAACCCCTTAAACCCCTAAACCCCCAAACCCCTAAGCCCCTAAACCCCTAAGCTCCTAAACCTCTAAGCCCCCAAACCCCCAAACCCCGAAACCCCTAAGACCCTAAGACCCTAAAGCCCTAAGCCCCTTAGGCTTTGTCGGGCTGACAGGGTTTGAATACGGGGTTCACGATGAGGTGAAGCGAGTGAATAGTTAGAAAAAGTTGGAGGCATTCATGTGCAAGAAGAGTACTAACGACCCTGAGCCCTGAACCCTCAGTTGCACGACGGAATGCACTGTCAAGATTGAACCAGTATGGGGGCCTTAGTGATTAGAATAGGGTTTTGGGTGCCATTATACTATCGTTATAATAAGGAGCCCCTAAAACAGTGTTGGTAATTGTTCAGGCCCCGATACTATGCAACCTCAAGGCCACGTCCCAAACTTGGACAGGGGACCGTCGAGATATTCCAGACCCCCTGCGTCTTGGATGAAGACCTCAGTGCAGCTGGGGATTCTCCTGCTAAGGGGCAGTATGGGGTCTTTGGATTCATTGGAGTTCAGGTTTGAAGCTTTTCGGGTTGAGGGGGTTCTTTTAGGTTTTAGGGCCCCAAGGCTTTAGGGGGAGCCTAGGGTTTAGGGCTTTAGTTCGGGTTTCGGGCTTAGGGATCAGATCTTGAGTTCCCCTTTTGGTTTTAGGGCCTAGGGTTTAGGGGGAGAGCCTAGGGTCTAGGGTTGAGGACCTGCGGCCTCGTGGCTTTGGTGAATTTTCTTGAATCCCCTGAGGACTCGGAGTCAGAATGAAGGTTGAAGGAGGGCTTCTTGAAAAAGCCAATGAAACCAGAACATGCTGCGCAGCCTCACCACTAGTTATGCCTTAGAGCTCCAAAAACCCAAAGCCCCTCCCCTCCGCCACAATGCGCAGCCAGGCGACATAACGGCCTTGCTCGTTGAAACCCGCAGAGATCGAAGAATTTAGGGTTCCGATGTAGCATATGCTGCCAGCTGCGCCACTTGCACCTGGAGATTCCGACGCTCGGGCTCGGGAATTCAGATCGGGCCTAGGGTCTTTATGTCGATGTATGTGGGGTCGCCATGTCGATGTATGTATGTTTAAGCATCTGTGTGCTTGCGCGTGTGTATACATACATGCATACATACATACATACACACATGCATACATACGTACATACATTACATACATACAAACATACAAACATATATGTTTGCTTCTGTCTTGATTCAGGTATTCATGTACTTATCCATGCCTAGTCACATGTTCGCAGTGCGCAGCCTTTCTTGTACTTATCTCTATGTCCAAATTCACGGTTAGTTGTCTCTGTTCGTGTGTTTATTTATTCAGTCATGTATGTATGTATGGATGGATGGATGTATGTATGTGTGTGTATGTGTGTTCTGCATGTATGTCTGTTTGTGTGTAGGTAGTTGTAGGGAAATATGGATACGTAGATAGGTAGATAGACAGACACACAGACACGCAGACAGATAGATAGATACATAGACCGTTAAGGGTAGATAGATTTACTGACAGACAGACATACAGACAGGCAGACAGACAGACATGCGCTGCATTTAGGGATGTGTTCATTTGTCTATTTATTTCACTGCCATCCTTGTCATCAAACTCCAGTACCATGATCTACGGCGACGACGACTACCACTACAGCCCTACTCCTTCTGCCACTGCGACTGCTACGACGACGACTACTACCTGGTCGCTACCTGTGAAGCACAGGCCCAGCCACAAGCTTGAGACATCACCACAACCCAGCTCGACCACAGCCTCAACCACAACCACTACCACTACCACGAGCACCACCACCACCACCACCACCACCACGACTAATACCACTACCACGAGCACTCCCACTGCTGCTGCTGCTCCTACTACATCCCACTGCTGCTGCTACAGTGCTACTTCTTCTTCTTCTACTTTCCATATGACTTTGCTGATCGTATTTAATGACCGTAAAAGCTTTTGCGTTTAGCTTGGTTTTGCATATCCATACTATTGCGATGAAGACTGCTGCTGATGAAACAATGGCCATTAATATCCTTGCGGCTGTTCTTCTACACAGCCCGAGTTCTGGCTAGGATCTCAGCAATGTCTTGGCGTAGTTTAGAGACTGTGCCGTCTCCTCGGCTCTGGCTTGGGAGGATCATTGAACCAAGGGAGCCGGATACCCCCAAAGAGAGCCGTCTATTTCGCCGGCATGGTTCGAATGAGGCTCTTTGCTCTGGGAGTACACCGGGCTCTTTGGGTATGGAGGGAGTGTCCTGCTACGGGGGCCTTGGAGGAAGGGTGGTTTGCATTCAGGGGTCTGCATGGAATTGTGGGTAATTCATAACAAACCAGGAGGAGGATTCACTCTCTAGAGTCTTGGCAGCAGGTTTTAGGGTTTGGCAACAGTCGTTCATGAACCCTGAACCTAAACCTTCATCCTTTTTCGAACGCTGCTCGAACCCTAAACCCTAAAGCCTAATCTTTTATCGAACTCTTCTAGAACCTTAAACCCTAAAGCCTAAAGCCTAATCTTTTATCGAACTCTTCTAGAACCCTAAACCCTAAACTGTAATCCACTATCGAATGCTTATGGAACCCAACTCTGCACTTCCGAGGCCGAGATGCCACCATCCGTGGGGCACGAAAGCCGGGTGAGGAAGCCTCAGACATGAAGAGGTTTCGGGTTCAGGGCTCAGGATTTAGGATTGAGGGTTTAGGGTTCAGGGGTTAGGGTTTAGGGAGTGTAGGGTTTAGGGTTCAGGGTTCAGGGGTTTAGGGGTTTAGGGTTTCGGATTCAGGGTTTAGGGAGTTTAGGGTTCAGGGGTGTTGAGTGCGGATGTGGATACAGATATGGACATAGATACTCATGTAGATATGGATACAGATACAGATATCCGCCGACCCCCCTGTGGGCGGCGCCAGTGGAGTAGATTTAGACAGGGTTTTGAGGGTTCAAGTCTAGGGTTCGGGCGCGCTCCGTAGATTAGATCTTATCGGGCTCCATAGGCTTCACACCCAGCCCTCAGAAAGCGCTTCGAGCTTCAGGGCTCAAGGTTTAGGAAGGGCTCAGGATTCGGGGTTCGGGAGGAAGTTGCAGGGCTGCAACATTTGGCGCTTTACATGTGATCTTCAGGGTGTTCAAGGATGGCGCAGGGTATTATGCCAAACTGGAAAGTTTCGTTCGGTCAAGGCAGGGAAGGAGTTCGGAGGAGAAACAAAGACTCTAGGACAGCTTGTATGATGGTAGAGGCAGTACAGGGAAGCTCGTTCCTTTGCGAGCTTCCTCCGCTGTCGTATTCCGACAATCCGAGGCCACGACTAGACAGCTAGATTTGCGCAGGCTGTGGCGTGGGAAGGCCTTTTTGTGCACTTCTGCGAATCGAGCTCGCAGAAGCATGGCATGGCCTACATCCCGGAAGATGGAACATCTACGACTGGCAGGATCAGGAGGTAATCGGGATGTGGGGCCTCAGTGCAACCTGCTTACCCTCAACCCCAGGCCCTTGTGAAGCATCAATTGCAGGTCTGCTTTGGCTGCTGCAGAACCCAACTCCCGAAATTCCAAGTCTTGCAGCCCCAAGATCACAAGAAAAGCCGCTTCTGAGCAGATCAAGCGAACTACCGGGGGCCTCGTTACGTAGTGCCAGCTGTCGTAAGAATCTAAACTCTGGGTGCTAATTCCTTGATCGTAGGCACCTGAATTTGGCTTCTATACCGCCCGGAAAGCAAGCAAATGCGGCCGGCTCTCCTGTGGCGGTGGGTTCCTGCAGACAGGGGTAGTGGTGGGAGCTTCGGATGCAGCGGGGTGCAGGTTTGATACAACAACCTTACTCGATGGTAGCAGCTTTCCTCGTCATGGACAGATGGATACATGGATAGATGGATAGATGGATAGATGGATTGATGGATGGACGGAGGGAGGGAGGGACGGATGGATGGATACGAGTACATAGATAGATACATGGCTAGATAGATAGGTGCGTAGAAGGACAGATGGATAAATGGATAGATAGGTATAGGCATTTAGAGAGAGAGAGAGGGAGAGAAAGACGGCTGATAACGTCTGCAAGGATATACTCATGTGCGGAATAGTTTATATTTATCACCAGTCTGTGTTGTACGTATTTTGTCGATGTCATCACTTGCCCACTGCGTGCTTGCTGTTTTTATGGATGTATCTACATGCTTGTTTGTGTATGGGTGTATCTATGTAGGCAGGTACGTAGCTAGGTATGCAGGCGGGCAGGCAGGCAGGTGGTCAGGTGGGCAGGTTAAGCACATACCAAACTACTGTGCGCATGTATATGATATGCACGCATGTGTATATATGTATGTGTGTATATATGTATGTCTGCATGTAGCTGTGTATGCGTGTATGTGTGTGTGTGCGTATAATGTATGCATGTTTGTATGCATGTGTGTATATGTATTTGTACATATGTATATGTATATGTATATGTATATGTATATGTGTATATATATATATATTGCGTCTAAAACATGCGTGTATGTTGGTGTGTATGGAAGGATGGGTACGTGCATGCGTATGTGTATGTGCAGGTGCGTATGCATTTGTGTATGTATGTACGTATCTGCTTATGCACGTGTGTGCGTGTGTATGCATGCATGCAAGTATGGAAGCACCTAGGTGTGTGTGTATATATATATGTGTGCATGGAAACCGAGACGTGGATGCAGATGCGGATGTAGACATAGATGTAGATCAACATGCATACGTGTTTGCACATGTCTATATTTACTAGCGTACGAGTGCTTTCATAAGACCGTCTCGCGTCGAAGCAACAGTTGACTGTCTAGCTTTGCTTGCGACATTGAACGTGTTCTCCCATTAGCTTCAGTTTCATTCACAGCACAATGGCGTGAGCATGACATTTCTGATTCTGTTTCATAAGACCGTTAACCGTCACACCTTCCTTCACTGCTTCACTGGGTTCAGCCTGTCACAGAGAGCGACAACCCCTCGTCCCGTCCCAGAGCGCTCTCATGATCTTCGTGCCCAACAGAAAATTCTTGCCATATTGAACCTTGCTGAATCAATGTCGAGTTATTCCCAGTCACACGTCTGTCTTGCACGTTGGTCTGTTCCATAGCTCGCTTATGTACGATTGCACAGTTGCGGCACTAGTAAAGCCTTTATCTTACTGCCACTGCGGCTGCCAGATGAGCCACCTAAGTCTAGCGCCGAGCTCCCGTAATTCTGTAACATGCTTGGCCTCTGTCATGCAGTAGATGTAGTTGTCCAGGGGGTTCACGCCACAAGCGTTGAAGCACTCGCCCTCGAAACTGCAAATCAACCTCGATTTGGTGTTGCTTGACACCTAGGCCCCGGAACGTAAAGGGTCTGAACAGAAGTACAAACATGGGAGTTTCCGAAAACAGGGGACCCTAATCTAGTACCCTAAACAGTAGGATCCTTATTTTAAGGGCCCCAAAATAAGGTACCCCCTAATTTTCGGAAATTCCCAACCCCCACATCAACCCAATCCCCGAAGCCGAAACCTAAGGAGCCCTACGCGCTCTGAAACCGAAATGCGAATGTAGTTAAGCCGTAGAGGACGACATCACCCTCCCTAAGACGGAAAGCCGAAAAGTCTTGGCACAGTGTTCAATGCTCCTCGCGGAGAGGCCTTGTGGAGCAACTGACCATGGAACATATACCTATGGAGTAAGGAAGAACAACCCTTCCCTTCGTAGATGAGCTAATCTCTCCACCGCACCAGTAGACCAGTAGCGGCAAGTCACTGGGTGCGCCTTCAGATTCCGAGCTCTGGCAGCTTTGTGCTTTTTGACTTGGGAGGTAGGCCGGGGGGGAGGGGCGGCAGGTGCAGGGCTTTGGCGGGCGCTATAGCCTAGTCATAGTAATAGTAAGCATAAAACAAGCGTGCCAAAAATTAAGGCTCGAATCGCCCCGTTGTGAGGAACATCGTAGCCCCAGTGCCGAATGCCATGGCCCATATGGGAACTACGGCACGCCATGTTGACAAGAGCTTCCGACAATGCGACGAGTTCAGCCAAGACCTCCTAGTGGAGAAGATCCAATCCTGTGCCAAGATCCTCCCGAAGTTCTTCGATTTCGAGACGGATGCCGACCATAGGACTCCCGACTGCGACATGCTGAAAATCAGTGCGCACGTGGTCTCTTACAACTACGGCCTGAAGCGACGCGTCTTGGAGACTTTCCGAAATGCCGACTGCAGCTGGATGTCGACGAGGGCTCGTGTGGCAGAGGCCACAAACAGGGCCGAGGTCATCAAATCTGACTGCGAGGGCCGCGAAGAGAACGAGCTAAAGGTCCAGGGCCTGGAGCTTTTCTTCCGCTTCCAGAATGATGAGGCCGGCAAGACGAAAGCGGACATCGTTAAGGAGATTTTCGAGCTGATGCCGATAGGCAGGGACACAAATCGGGCGGGCCCGCTTGGCCAAGATTCCCGCCAGCATCGACGGCGAGGTTGAGCGCCGATGGGGTATCGAGGATCCACAAGTCCGAGGCCACTGACTCCGTCGACAACAAGTACCGACGGGAGCCGAGTGGGACAAGAGTACCAGTGGGGAATACTGATTGCCCCCTGAGTAGTTCGTACAGAAGAGTGGCTTGACGCGGGCACAGTGTTACTGTGTGGGATTAGCCCTGCAGTTTGCCTCTTCCAACCCCGAGAGGAATAGGCTCAGGGTAGTGTATAGTGGCGCAGTGAAGTTTGAATCTCTGCTGCGTGGAGTCTTGCTCGTAGTTCGCCTCATCTGACTCCGTGAGGAATATGCTTGAGCAACTTGTCTTCAGTTGCGGTACCCCCCGCATATAGGAGTCTGATCAAGACCCCCTTTTTTGTTAGTGTAGGGTTAGAAAAGCTCAAACGCCCCATGCGCCGCTTGTTCAGTTGAGCGCTGGAGAACGGCTGTTCTGTGAGACGTTGCCCTTTTGGTTTTGAACGGGGATGTGCTCCATGGAGATGGCTTTTGCGCATGGAGCTGCCAGTTCGCTCTCTGTGGTTCTTCCTCCGTTAAGTGCGATTGCCCAGATTACTGCACCGCGACTACTGAGTAGTTCCCGAGCGCAAACTGGGGGTCTGCACTTGCCATAGAATTCATCTGTGCAATAGGCGCGTTCGCTACTCGGACTCATCGCCTCCGGAAGAAGAATACTATTTTGGGGCTTCCGTACTATCTGTTATACTATAACGAGCACCAAAACCCTATCCTAACTGTTGAGGCCCTTTTTTTGCTCTCCCCGACTCCAGGAACCCCAAACCCGAATAACCCCCCAGATCGATAACCCTAAACCCTAAACTCCAAACCCCTAAACCCTAAACTCTAAGCCCCTAAACCCTAAATCAGTCTTGGCAACTCGTACTGGCCGGTCGAAAGGTTCAGGGACTGGATCGTTCCTGCCGGAGAAATAAGCGAAGGAAAAGATCAATCACCATTTAGGGTTTAGGGTTACTAGCTTTCACGACTGTAACACTGACTTCGATAACTAGAATAACGACAGCCGTACTGGGTCCCAAACGTTGTGGCTTGGTGTTTTAGGGAGCTACTCCGGTTGATCATATAAATCCTGCATTACCCAGAATAAGGAATATACCATAATTCCCACAGTTTAGGGTCATTAAGGTAATGCAGAATCTATATCATCAACCGTCCCCCGAAGAGTGCACAAACTCTCTTTGGGCACTGTGTCCCGAAACCTCAACTTCCTGTGAGTTGCAGAAAGAAGGATACCCTGAAATACACCCAAAATGGGAGTTTCCGAAAATTAGGGGCACTTTACTTTGGGTTCCTTACAATATAAGGATCCTAGTATTTAGGGAACTAGATTAGGGTCCCCCCCCCTATATTCGGAAACTCTCGAGTACTGGGATCCTTATTCTCAGGACACGCCAAAAAGAGTCCGAATTGAGAAGCCCATGATACAGCTCCCTGTACTCTAGCCCGCCCAACACCTGCGAAGAGCACATCTTTAAACTTCAAGAAACCCCACCGGAGTCTCCATCCCCAAAGCTCGTAAGCCCCGAAACCCAGGAGCTTCAGCCTAAACCTTGAACTCACTCAGCTCTAAACGCCAAGGCTTGGGTTTTAGGGCTTAGCCCGAGCCCAGTGCTCTCTGGGACTTGCAGAGCCAAAACCCTTCAAACTCAGGGTGAAGCTTCGGTTCTACTGTGAGCGCTTACACCAAGAATTCCCGGAATTGAGGCTGCCTTCCTGAATCTGGGGAAAGTAAGGCTTTTCGGGTTGGGGTTCTAGGCTTTGGGGCCCGTTAGGGAGTTGAGTGAGGGCACTCCCAACACACTCTCACAACCGTCTACAAAACCGCCGAAGACTCCTTCCAAAAACCTGTTGGAACTCCTCTGTCCCAAATCGACATCCTAAGTCCCAAAACCCTGTCAGTGCTCCTCGGACACAGTTGCCGTCAATCCTTATCTGCAGGAAGCTTCTGCGAAGTCCAAGCATTGAACATGTCACGCACAGGCAGCAAAATCTCAATACGTCCTTCAGCTCGAGCACGGAAAGCAAAATCTACAGCCAAAAACTTCAGAACCCAAGAACACAAAACTCCAACACTGACTACCGCCCCCTTGTGCAGAATTCTCTCAAGGCAGATTTAAGCGACGCCTGCAGCATTCAAACCTCCGCTTAGAGGGAACTCCAGAAAGTTGGAATATGGTTTCAGGGTAGGATACCCTATAACTTACCATAGAAGGGTTTAGGATAGTCATCTTCCAACTTTCTGGCTTTTACTTTAGTAAGGAGCCCATGCAGTAGTGCAACTGCCATTCGCGGCCCTTCTCTGCCCAAATCTAGCACCGAGCCCGCAACCCTCAAACCTTGAAGCCCAAGGCTCTGAACCCTAAAACCACCAAACCCTCATATGGGAGTTTCCGAAACTGGGTGCCTTATTCAGGGATCCTCGTACTAAGGGTCCTACTACTTAGGGTACTATATGAGGGTCCCTATTTTCGGAAACTCCCAGATTTTAAATCTACACACCAGGCGTAAAACTGCGAGATTTGTTCACTCAGAGTCTGCGCTTACGGCTTCGGTGAGGGAGGGGGAAGATCCTTCTGGGTATGCTGTAGAAGCCTACTTTGGGTTTAGGGTTTAGGGCCAGGGTTCCAGCTTAGCTGGCCCACAGCCCTAAACCCGGTAAAGATAACAACGCCCTAGACCCAGAAGTCTTCTTCGGGGGTTTGCATGTTGCACGACCCTAGACCCTAAACCCCAACTTGTAACTCAGATAGGAGCTCTTATAGGAACCCTCAGAGGAATTACTTGAAAGCGAACCAGCGGCTGCTCGTTGATCGCCTGCAACGCCAGTGTGGAGAAGCTGCTGGTGTTCGAGCAGTTCCACTCCTCGGTTCAGGGGCTACCCTTTTCGTTTATGTAGGGATTACACTACTCAACAAAGGTTAAAGGTTACCTACTCTACTACTAGGTTCTCTTCTGCGGCGTAGGATGTACGGTTGAGGATTTATGGAGTTAGGGTTTGGGCGCTTGGCTTTGGGTTCAGGGTTTAGGCGTTCAGGAAGCGGGAAGTGTATCGTTGTCTGCTAGACTATTGAGATTGGCGTCACTAGAATCATGTGCATTGCTGCCGTTGCTAGCATTTCTATCCTGACCCCTACTGCCTCCCAGTATTGCTAACAGCAGCTTCAGTTCCCATGCGGCAGGACCGCCCCGGGAATGTGGGAGACGATGGCATCCGGGTTGAAGGTTTACTGTGTTGACGGTACACCCCTGCAGAAATCTGCCCGAATCCTCAACTGTCGATCCCAAACATCAACACGAGCCAAAAACTTGGATGCATCTTGTGCAGATCAGATGCCGTGGTGTTGCACCTCACAGCTGGGCAATCGTTTTGACTTGGAGGGAGGTCAGGTTGCTGGTATCGGCCGAATGTTGAGCTCATTTTACCAAAACCACCCACCCTCAATTTTGAAGTATCCCCCCCCCCCACTCTCCAACGTAAAACTCGATCCCGAAAATTCGAAAATTATCCCGCCCCTGGCTCCCAAAAGGACATGTCCGCCCTCCCAGAGTCGCTGGCAGAGTCACCAGCCCAGTAGCACCGGAACCCCACCTTCAACAGTCAACCCTGCCGGGACCTGAAATCAATCGAGGGGAGGAGGGGGCTGCTGTTAGTTTGAACTCACTCAACGGGGTTGAGGCTTCGGCTTTGCGCATTGCTGGTGGATCCTCAAAGAGTCGGAAGCACCGAATCGGCACACAGTCTGGTTGAACATACCAAGCAATAAGGCTTGGGGTTGAGGGTCTTCCTGCACTCGTAGCGGAAGCGTAGCAGAGTTTCGCAGCACCTGGTACGAAAAGTACGTGCGATCAATGGGCCTGAAATCATGACTAATGTTTGTGTGTAGTATAGGGACCTTGATAATTAGAATAGGGCTTTGGGGCCCACTATACTACAATTATGACAAGGAACACCAAAATAATTTAGGTAATTATTTCGGCCTCTATATTATGCTCCCAACTGGACTAAGTCACACTTGCAGAGGCTCCGGAGTTGTTGTGGTGGTGGTTGACGTCGTGGTGGTCACCTCTGTCAGTTTAGGGTTTAGGGTTTAGGGTTTAGGGTTCAGGGTCTAGGGTTTAGGGTTTAGGGTTTAGGGTTTAGGGTTTAGGGTTTAGGGTTAAGGGTTTAGGGTTTAGGGTTTAGGGGGAGGGACTCGGAAAAGCAGAGCTCTGCTGTTGCAGAGCAAAGGATTTACCTACGTGTCGGGTATCATGGGGAACTAAAGGTTAACCTTTCTGGTTATATAGGGATTATATAGGGGCTATACTACCCCAAAAGGTTAAAGGATACCTACTCTACTACTAGGTTTAGTGTCGGGTATGTTAGTAATACGAATTGTGGAGAGTGTTTAAGATTGCATCTCAAACTAAACCTAAGCGCAGGAACCAGAATCTTGCAAATATCCGAGTCCCGAAACCATGGAGACAACCCGACCAAAACCCTGAAACGCCCTGAAACGCCCTGAAACACCTGAACCACCTGTTCCCCATTCCCTACGGCGAAACCCCCAGACTTCCGCAGTCTTGCGCCCACCTCGGCGAAGGGCGAGGAACCAGGACAGTTCAAGCCATCGTTGGTGATCGGGACCTGGCTGGTGTTGGCCTGATGCGCGGGACCGGCGGGCGGGGAAGCGGGGGGTGGAGTGGGCGGGTTTGAAAGGTTTAGGCTTAGGGTTTAGTGTTTAGGGCTTACCTAGACCCCCCACCAACTACCATTGATCGCAGCCCCGAATTACCTCTCAATGAGAAATATCAGAGCCCTTTAAAGGGCACTTGGGGGGTCTAGGTAAGGCGAAAGATTCTGACCAGGAGGCGCCTGACAATCATACGGAGATCCTATCTTACTCGAGTTTGGATCGGGGGCAGACGCTTGAAGAAGTACCGTGTGTTGCTCCAAGAGGCGGGCATCTAAACGGTTTTCGTTTGGCGGAGATTCATGGATAGAACTGGGCTGCACAAGGAGGTCTTCGGGGGCTTGACTGCGGGTTTGAAGCTGTCGCTGCAGCCTAAACAATGACAACCCGACCCGAAGATAAAGCCTCGGGCCTTAGAGGAAGGAGACAGGGGGCCCCGAATCTTGCAAAGGTGGGTCTACGAGGTCTCTTCACAGCAGCCGAACTTCGGAGGTTCTGAAGAAACAGACAGGGACGGTGGAGCCCGCTGCCACCTGCAACCTCAAGCCTAGGCCGCTCGGAATGTCAGGCCTTGGAATTGGCTCCAAAACACCAAAAACTGCGTAACCTGTCCTCATCGAGCTAATTTAGGGTTGCAGGGCGAACCTCGTGGGCAGCCACCCCCAAAGAAAACTGATAGCAACAGAGGCGCGGCCCCGGCGGGTCCCACGAAGACCTCGCCAGTACGGTCTACGACGTCCGTGACACCTTGCAGACTCAGATATGTTGTGTTGGTTTAACAGTTTAACGTACATAGAGCCCGCAGGCCGACAAACAGCCGAAAGCCTTCAATGTGCTCCGAAAATGGGACCCCAAGTAAGGGATCTGAAATTTGTCAGGAAAACTGTGGCCCCAAGCCAGACCTGCTTGGAGCCGCAATCCTGCAAGCTTAGGGGCTCGGTCTAGTTGCGTCAACTCCACATCCAAAAACTTGCTGTAAAGAAGCTTCCCAAGCTTCGGTAATCAACTAGTATCGGGACAGAGGCAGCCGCCCTGTTCAGGACGAAAAGTCAAAGGCTTGGCTTGGTTTGGCTCGGCTTGGCTTTTGGTGCAGCTTGGCTTGGCGAAAGCTTGGCACGGCTTGGTGCCTGTTTCCTTCTCTTTTGGCTGGCTTGGCTTGGCTCGGCATTTGGCTCGGGCAAGCGAAGGCAAGCCAAAAGGCCAAGCAGCACCGAAACAAGCGTCCGGCCCAGCACTCAGGCTAACCAAAAAAATCATCGCCGAGCCAGCCAAGCCGAGCCGGCCAGGCCAGGCCAGAGCAGGCCAAGCCGAGTCGAGCCAAGCCAAGCCGCACCGAAACCCGAGCCGCGCCTAGGAAAGAAACCAAACCCCGCGCCCACCTGACTGGTTTAGGGTTTAGGGCTGACAGGGTTTAGGGTTTAGGGAAAGAAACCAACGCAAGGGCTGCGGCCTGGCGATTCGTCCGTCTTCCAGAGCCATATACCCTAGACCCTGTATCGTAAAAACACCTTCATCGAACCGCAAAGCCGTGCACCCTGAACCCTAAACCAAATCCTACACCCAAAACTCCACACACCAAACACGCGAAGAAAAAACTCTCAGAGTAGCTAAAGCCTTCAACCCTAAAACCGTAAAACCCAAAGTTCAAAGCCTCTCACATCCCGGAACCCTCTTTCTGCCACCGAGATGGCTGGCAAACTCGTAGAGGATCTCGTAGACGGTGTCGTTATAGGCGCAGTAGACAGACCCGTTGAAGTTCCTCTTCGGGAATTTACTGCAATGCAGGGATCAGGGTCATGAGTCACGTACTACCATTTACCTTTTCTATAACATACCGCTTCAAAGACCCCTTGGTCACAGGAATCCGTGCGTAAGGTCAAGAGTTGCTTGGGGCGGCTTGTGCAGGATTTACAGTCTGGCATCTCGGGTTCGGGTGGTCCTTTGCGGTGGCTGAAGGCTATAGTGCATAGAGCTTAGGGAGATCATAGAAACGATGCCCCCGCGTGTCAAGCAAGGAGCCATGCCGTGGTGACATCACCTGACGGGAGAGGATCGATGCCAACCATATCCAGCACCTCGGATTCAGGCGCAATGCAGGGCCAAGCAAGAGCAGTTGTTTAGGATTCAGGGAGTGGGTTCGAGGCTCGCGATCTAGGCAATGGGGTTCATTCGAGCTGCATCGCCCCAATGCTGTCCCATTCCCACACTTTTCGTCTGCTGCTGTTTGAGTAGGCAGGTTCAAACATGTCTTATGTCCTCATTGAGGACTCTTAGCATGCATGGCGAAACAAGGCGGCAGCGTAAAGGAGGACCCTTATTTTTGATCCCTGCACTTGCAATCATCTCACCTTTTCAGCCCTCCGAGTTAGGGCTTCATCCTCAAGCCAGACGATGGTTTGTGGCGGCGTTGTAGTTTCGGTCGTGTAAAGGCGGGCTGTTAATTATGGATAGAGTCAAGATCAACTTCTGCTTGGTTATGTCCAGAGACTCAAAAAACCACGGAACCGTTTGATGTTGCCCCCTCCTTAAACCCTAAACGCACTGAGCGTTACCCTCCTGTGGCAAAGCATCTCATCAGCAGCATTTCAGCAGCGTCACTGAGGGGGTTTAGGGTTGCAGGGTTGCTGAGGTTTCTGGATTGAGGACTTAGACTTCCTGGATTCCGAGTTTAGGTCTGTGGGCTCAGGTTCTGTTCTGTCCGACAAGGCACATAGCGTGCCCTTCGACTTGAGCCGCTGGTGTCTGTCACAGATTGGAAGATAACCTGTCGCGATGCTCATCAGTGGGATCTTGGGAGATAGACAATGACTAGGGTCGATCCAGGATCAGCGTGATAGATCGTGCCTCTTGTGTGCACCAACCGGGTTCACCCCCGCCGCAAACCCAAAACGTGCCCGCATACCACGTGAACAAACATGCATATGCAAGTACCAAACTTCGCTCGACCGATGCGCATGTCCTACTGCTGCCTTGGTATTGTTTCCTGCTGCTCTGTGCGCGCCTGCAAGCTTTGCGTCCGTGCTTCAGAGACTGGGTACATGCAGAACCGCTTTGTCAATCTGGATCTTCCGTCGAAAAACGTTCCAAGCAGTTCTAAACGCTACATACAGCCGAACCCTAAGCCGCGTAACTCCCCGACTCCTCGAGCCCAAACGTCCGGATCTGGAAAGGTTCTAAATCCTACATGGAGGAGCCCTGGGCCTATAAGCCCGAAGTAGTAGGCTTCATACCGATAAAGGCTCAAGGGTTCTCAGATTCCTAGCTTGCTCCCGGGATCCCAGAAAGCTTCAACTCTGAAGCCGGGCCTGGCTACCAACGCAGCCAATCGCCTAGGCAGTTCGGGGGCTACTACTTGGAGGATCATGGGGCTTAGCAAGTAAGGTTATAAGTACCTTAATTGGGGTTATAAGTATAGTTACCCTAATTGTAACCCTAGTTACTAAGTCCCATGATCCTTTAAGTAGTGGGGTTTGTCGCTTTGGGATTCCGGGTTTGGGGCTCAGCGCTCAGTGTTTGGATTCTTCTTGCCGGAAAACCCCTTCCAGAGTTTGGGGCCCAGAACAACAGCTTGAGAACGTGTGTTTCAATGAGTTTGGGTCGCCGCTGGCAGCAAAGTACGCTGCATTCGACACGACCTTGTCGCATGACTTTCGTCTGCGCCTATTCCACTGCAAACCAAATTTTCTTAACCCCCGCACCTTAAACCCCAAACCCCGATCCTAAATTCTAAACCCTAAAGCCCAATACTAGATGTAGGCAAATCCTGCACATCAATCCCGAACTTCCTGACCCCTACTATAGAGACCGTAATAATCGATATAAGGTTTAGGGTCCCACTATAAGGAACCCCAAAATAGTATTGGTAATTTTTTGCTGCACGTTGCGTCTGAGGCCGCGACCTGTCGACTGAAGGCAAGAGAAACCGTTTTAGGCTAGACTAGTTGATGCATTGATGCAACAAACAAAACTAATATGGCGAAATACTACTGAAGTCGTGGAACTGAGGTATCCAGGTAGTGCCGTTGCTGCTATTGTCTAACGCCCTTTGAAGGAAAATGTAAAGCTGATGGTGGACATGATGGCACTTCATGGACCCGAAGAAACCACTCAAAGTTGTCATACCGAGGAAGCACCTCAACGCGACCCTTACAAATTCTCAAGAAGTAAGACCGAAACCGGGAAACTAAGATACGAGCAGTCATGCCCGGAGACATGAACCCTGGAAAGAAACCGGAGATGGCAAGAAACTCGATGAGAACTTGAAACCACGATGTGCGTGGTCCTTGGGACCTGTTGCTAAAGGCCCAAATGGGCTCACCCATGAAGCTGGCAAGAGCTTGGGCAGCCGCCAAAAAATTGGGTCTTTTACAAGTGCGAACAGGGACAACACTAAGCCCTTGCCAACCGGAGAAAAGGATCTCTCAGGCTGAAGGCTCGGTAAGTATCGAGACCCCTACTCAGAGGCCCAGGGGACTTTGCAAGTAGATGATGAGTAGGGTTATATAAGTACCCTAATTGAAGCTGCCCCAATTATAACTCTACTTAAAACCTACTTACTAAGCCTGCTGGGCCTTCAAATAAACCCTAAACCCCAAAGGCTCTCCCGCTAGGCCCCGGGGATCGCAAAAGAAAAGCTGCGATATAACCGAAAGGATATAATATATATCTCGCTTTTCTCGCTTTTGGGGCACATGCTCCGATTCGGATGCAGCCCGTTGGCTTGCATTAATTAAGTTGGAGTGAGACAAAAGTGACCGAGAAGGTCGCTGCTATTCGAGAGTATGCGGTGCTCTCCTATGCTAAAGGCTCGGATCCCAGCAAGTGTAGAAACTGACTGAATGCAGAGATCTGTCGCAGACGACACAACCAGGATAGCCGGCACACGTAGGAGAATCAGCCTCAGGAAGAAGCGAAGGAGGTCAGCGCCTAGGATGGCTTTTCCGAGTTCCGCCTGACCATACGAGAGGCCCGAGTCGAAACACGGCAAAGTCCGGAGGAGTGGAAGCCCCGTAAGGTCAATGGCAAAAGCGACATCGTCAAAAGGGCCATCAAAGAACGCTGGTTGATCCCCCTTGGCGAAATCCAAGAGGCATTCATCAAAAGTGAACTCGAGAAAGCAGCGGTCGCAGAGCGACAAGGGTGACAACCTCGACCCAGAGTGAACCCGGATAAAGACAAGGTCCGGGGTGAGAGGGCCGGGGGCTCCCGGTTGGATCAGGGAGGTGTCAAGGAGACCGAGAATGTGTACCGAATCCCGGTAGGTTCGGTACATGGACTGGCGGACAGTGGGCGTGGGGACAAGCCAGGCAACGATGTCGGTCGTACTGATCCACTCCGCACAGTCTACGAGTCGGGTGCTGCCGCCCGTGGCGTGAAGAAACTCGGCCCAAGACAAGGCCGTCGCCCTAAGGCGATCTGTCGATGCGCAGACACAAGAGAACGACAGGCGCAATCGATCCCACAGCTCTTCATCCGAAAGGTCCGTTACAGGGCCATCGAAATCGATAAGCCCCAAACAGTCCCACACTTCAGCGACAGGGCAGACCTCCTGGTGAACATCCGGAAGCTGTGGGAACAACTGGAGTGGTCCACTCCCAGACAAAGCTGGGCATAAACCAGCGGCCTTGTCGTCATCTTTGCGATGTCCGACGCCGGGTTCAACACTGCAGGAGTAGCCCAGGGATAACAGCTTTGCACGACAAGGGAGGGAATACCGAAGGTGCCGGCAGAGTCTGACATTACTGGGGTAGGTACGGAGGCATGCTTGGCACTGTAGTCCCGGGAGAATGCCTCTCCCTGCCATACGCCTTCCATGACACTTGAAGGCGTGCACCGACCACTTCTGTCGGGTGGAGAAGGTGGCGCGGCAAAGCGCGCAGCAGTGTACCTGATCCTGTTGATCCAACGTTGGGCCGTAAGAAATGGCCCCGTGACGTTGAAGCTGGTGGACAAGGAGCGCGCAGTGTCTGTGGTATGCAGCCTGCCATGCCTCGATGTGGACAGCTCTGGCCTGTGCTCTTTTGAGCAGGCTCTTCCACTTGCCGGGGGACTTATGTAGCAATTGAAGCCACTCCGGCCAGATGTCCTCCCAGGGTCTCGTATCCTTAGAGGTTCGGACAAGGTCCCAAAGCCATGCAAGGGACAAACGGACCGTGGCGAGCCACTCAGTTTCCCAGTGTGCGAGGGCCCAAAGCTGATCAAGCTGCAAGCGGACAAAGAGCAGCAGATGCCGGAGGCGGTGGATGTGCAGAAGGACCGCAACGGAAGGAAGTCCCAGATAAGCAAGGACCTGATCTCGACCGGCATGAAGGGCTTGATCGAAGTCCCAGTGTGGCCGGCACATGTGACAGGCCATCCTCTCGTAAGCAGAGCTCAGGGAGGAGAGCGCTGCCGCGCTGAGCCCAGGCCAGGTACCGGCCCCATGGAGGAGCACGGAGAGGATAAGAGAGTTATACAGGGTGGCCTTTGCCGCCTTGGGAACAGTGGGAGACCCGAAGATATGGCGCTTTCTCTTCTGGAAGGCTTCATGTGCAAGTGCAACCCTGGACCTGACCTCTCTTGATAGGTCTCCCGTGAAGTGGATTGTACCTCCTAAATGTCGGTAGGAGTTGACCACTCTCACTCTGGCACCAGGCCACAGTCTTGAGGGGATCGCGATGGAGGGATCCTTGTCCCGAAAAAGGCCAGCACGGACGCCTTTTGAGCCAGTCCCTGAGGGCACGATAATGAGCTCTGTCTTGCCCCGGGCAAGGTTGGGTAGGAGTGCTCGAGACAAGCAAGCGTCAACCAGCAAGCTCGTTACATGCTCAGCTTTGGTAACAATGGACTCGGCTGAGTCGGACAGCATCATGAGTGCGAGATCATCCATCCAAGTAGCATCGAAGATATCAATCGAATGCGGAGACCCAGCTCCCGACTTGAAGATGTCATCACGCATGGAATCGTGATATGGCAATTGGGTCGTGCATCCCCTGGCAGCCATATCCTTGGATAGCTCTTGAAGCACTTTGGAGAAGAGGAAAGAGAAGATGATATCGGCACAATTGTCGCCTGGACGGCTTCCGAT